CTGGCAGCCCTTCTGATGTCTGAGCTGGAGTAACCATTTGTCTGTAGACCCTGGTCTAGGTGCTTCAATTTATCTTCCACGAAGTGGGGTTCACAGATGCGTTTTGCCTGGTCTACCAGTGTTTTTATTGTGCTTCTTTTTTGGCCTGGGTGATGGTTAGAGTTCTTGTGCAAGTATCTGTCTGTATGTGTGGGTTTTCTGTATACTGTGTGTCCCAGACGTTGGTTTGGTTTGCGGATGACTAGGACATCCAAGAATGGCAATGTTCCTTCCCTTTCTTTTTCCATAGTGAATTGGATGTTAGGGTGGATGTTGTTCAGGTGGTTCAGGAAACCAGCCAGATCTTCTTCTCCATGGTTCCAAATGGTGAAAGTGTCATCCACGTATCGGAAGCAAGTTGTTTCCAGGGCTTGTTTTTCAAAGTGTTCCATGCAGAAGTTTGCTATCACTGGGCTCAGAGGGCTTCCCATTGCTACCCCATCTTTCTGTGAAACGTCAGAAAGAAACTCTTCTAGAACATGGCCACACAGCCCGAAAAACCCACAAAAAACTATACTATGGTTACTAGGTGTTTTAGAATCTACTCTCTGAATAATCTCTATTGTAAACAGAAATGTAGTAACTAGAACCTAGGGCACTTTGCCTACTAGGGAACTTTGGCAAATGAAAGCAAAATTTTATAGTCTTAACAACAAAAATTGGTCAATGGAGGCATAATTTCTGAGATGGCTATGATACCAGTGGTTCAGTTCAGCATATAGAATAGATTGACTTGCTATTCAGTTAAATAGCTGCTGGACATCTGGCAATCAATCAACCAATCAAATGAACAAACAAAATCAGTCAGAGTTCTCCACTCTGTTTTATGGTAGTCACTGAAGAGGTAGACATTAAGCACTAGTATTTACCAGGTCTTGGGAAAGTTTCAGCTCTCAGAATTCCTCTCCTGGCAGGTGATAGTTGTTGGATAGAGGATTCTGGAAGTTACAGCGTAACTTTATCAAGCTGTGAGAATTAGTAGATGGTACTATCTCCCTTTCCTCTCCCTTATAATGTAAGTGCAGGTCATTACACGTTGATGCTTACTACAGAGTAGCATCTCCTCTCTTCTCAGCTGGTACTGCACAGGTATACAATATAGCCAAAGCTGAAGTCATGCAAATAGAGATCAAATTACCAAGAGAAAATATATAACAGTCACTTCTGCAAGTGCTTGAGATTTAGCCATTTCAAAGCATCATGTGTTCTTAATTTGTGCAGTGGTTTTCATGTCAAAAGCACTTAGCAATATTTACACTATTTACCTCACTATTTACCTTGCTTGGCTGTCCACCAACCTTGTGACTTAGACTAGTGTTAACATGATAGATTCCAGAGGAACCAAGCTCTTCCTCGCTGCCCTTTTAGCAATGATCCAAGTTCTCATTGCCCAGGATCATGTCCAGCACTTTATTCACTGATGAAACTGGGTCCTTTGTGCTTGAAATGTAATGCATTATAGGCACAAAATAGTGTCAACTACACCATTGTAAATGACTTTAAAAAGGTTGTTTTGGGGGGCTTTTCCTATCCCATTGCCTGGCATAATCAACCACAATATCCTGAAATGCTGACATTCATTTCCAGCCTAGCTTTTGGTGGTTCAAACATATCAGTTCTTTGGGAAGTTGTTTTTAATATTTTCCTCAATTGTTTTGAATATTTCTTTCATTGTATTGCAAATTTCTTAACAGAAGACATACTATTGTTTTTTTTATGGCAAAGTAGATTGGTAGAAAATGGAATAGTCTTTGGATATGGGGTATTGCTTTAACATTTTTATAATGTACATTGACATGTTTCATTCTGAGGTTGTTAAGCAGTAATCTGTTTGCTTAAGTCACAAAGATTTTACTGATCTAGGTATTGGGTGGCTCCTGCACTTTTCATAACAGAGCTTGGATAAATTATTTTTTATTACTGCTCCCCTAGCATGTCTTTGTTTTTAAGTTTTCAGTTCCTGGTTAATAATTCCATAATCAAAGAGGGAATTTCTTCAGGTGTAGTTATACCTGCTGAATATATGAGTCTGCCAGAGTTTTAAGATCCTCAGGGGGTGGCATTCTCTCAAACTCACCATCATCACAGGAACATTTACTGAGGATACAGAAGAGATCCTTCTCAGTGGCTGCTCCCACATTGTGGGATTTCCTTCCATGGAAGGTTTGGTTGCCCCCCTCACTTCTCATTTCTTTCAGACAGCTGGCAAATAATTTCTTAATTAGGCAGGTCTTTGGCTTTCGCGTGGCAGAAGGGTCTTTAAATGGGACTGTGTTTTTACCTTTTTATTATGTTTTAACTGCCCTTTGACTTTTTTCAAATAAAATTGTTTCATTTAAAAATATTTTGAAAAACAAATAGTTTTTCAGATATACCTTGTTTTTAATTGGATGTAACCACCTTTGGATCTGTTCAAGGAGAAAGGTGGGATATAAAGCAAGCAAGCAAGCAAGCAAGCAAGCAAGCAAGCAAGCAAGCAAGCAAGCAAGCAAGCAAGCAAGCAAGCAAGCAAGCAAGCAAGCAAGCAAGCAAATATGTTTTCCTTTTCTGAAGATCTATTAATAGCACTTAGGATCACCATAAATAAGAAATGACTCAACAGAACACAGCTACAGCAATTCCTGTCCTCTTTTGCATCTGGTTACCCTGTTTACCCTGTTGTGTGCTTTCAACTAATTTCTGACTTATGGCAACCCTATAGCAAGCCCACCTCAGGGTTTTCTTGTCAGAGTTGTTCAGAGAAGATTTACATTTGCCTTCCTCTGATGATGAGAGTGTGTGACTTGTCCAAAATTGTCCAGTAGGTTTCAGTGGCCAAGCAGGGATTCAAACCCTGGTCTCCAGAGTCATAATCCAGCACTGAAACCACTTCACCACACTGGATCTCTATTTCTGCACAATCAGGAGAGAGAGAGAGAGAGAGAGAGAGAAAGATAGAGAGCAGTGGAATGACTATGTAATTTTAGACCCTGGATTTAATGGTCTTTTATGACACTCCTTTTGGATAGTGAGGTGTAGTATTCCGACAATAAGGCACTGTGCTGTGGGCTTCCATATTTTCATATCTGGGGCCAGGCATGTTCTTAAGAGGTCATGATGACCTTTGAAACACAGGGAAATTTCCTATGGGAAAGGAGCATAGACCCATAGACCTGTGAAGGACCCAGGTAACACTGAGACAAAAGCTAAATGGGTGTGCTGATTACTCCTTCCTCCTCTAGGGTCTCTGCATATCCTCTTGCAACTAGAGACAAAAGGGTTCGTATTGCACTAAGACAAGCCCCAGCCAACTTCCCTATCCATCTAACCTCCAATCACCATTTTTGCAGCTCCAAAGTTAAAGCCATCAACAGATCCAGAATCTCATTGTTGATTCCATGAGAAAGCCATCAGGTCTTTCCTACATTACAAGATAGCACCTAGCACTCTTGAAGCTAGGATTTCAGTTATAAGTGTCAGTCCCAAATCTAGCCTTCTCGCACACAGCTGGCATCCATCCCTTGCATACAGTTGGTCTCCAGTCTGTACTTTATGTGTACAGAGAGATTCCTCCAGTACAGACTGGGGACCAGTGTTGCTCTCAGACCTTGAACCATTTCCTACTTTTTGTGGTCTACTCTTTAGGATAGTTAAATATTGTCCTCTCTACACCCCTCAGACTCTGCTATCCAATTTCCATACCTCCATTTTGATTAGCTCTGTGTGGTGCATCAGTCTGGATTGCTATTGTGTGTTTGATTGCATTCTTGAGTATTTCTGAATAAAAACCTTTTTAATTCAGTTAGTATTGGTATACACAAGTGGAAACAATTCTCAAGTTGCCCAGTCTCTTGAAAGCTTCCTTGAGCTAAACACATTCCCCAACTTTTAAAAGAGAAGCTGATACAGTTGATGTCCCCCCAGTCCTCCCGCCTTTCTTTAGGTAACATCTTCCTCCACATCCCAATTCTGTGCTGTATAGCTGCTCCTACTCTCTTGATATGACAGGAAAAAGCACCAAGATTATAGAAAACAACAGGATTATAGAAAGCCAGATAAAAACCAAATACATAATCTGAGCAAATTAAATTTCACACTTTAAATTCAGTTAAATCAGACAATCATTATGACTATAGAAATAAAATGAGTTTTCCTCCTTTCTTCTGCCCTGATGTTAAATGTACATACTTTGGCATAAACACTGTTTTCTCATAGGATAATATATATTTGAAGAAAACTGACACCTGCAACCATGTACATACAGAGGCTTAATTAATTTCCCTGTCCAGAAAATACTTTAAAAACAGGAAAGGATGATGTAGTGATAATCATCAGTGTCAGTTCCACTGGCTCCATGTCAATCTCAGCTGCAGATATTGGGTTTGTCTACTGCTGTCCCAGTAACTTGATACTTTTTGGTTGGTCCTCCATCAAGCTATGAATCTCTGGACTTTGGCCCTGAGGTCCATCCCTCACTGCACTACTGAAAGGTCAATGTAAATGGATGATGTGCTTTTATATCAATACCTCTCAAGAGGAAATCATTTAAACACATTTTTATATAAAATCCAATAAGGCTTTAAAATGAAACTGTTGAAAAAAATGACTGTTGATAAATGTAATGACCTGGAAGCACATGATTTTTCATTTTTGGCAAAATCATCCTATCCAGCATGGTGAGATACATGCAGTTCATTGAAAGTTGTGGTCCCAGCCCAGCTAAACAGGTAGCGAGAAGAGGTTGGGATCTTCTTCTTGATTTCTGGGGTATTTTCTGTAGATTAGCAAGGATTTTTTTTATTTTCAGTTGTTTAACAACAATATACCTCATTCCTCAGACTAAATCATACTAATGACAAGTAAAAAGATTAGAGTAACAAGAAAAAGTTTTGTGAGGTGGGATTTGAGCTCTGTACTGGTACTCATAAAGCTCCGGGCTACTCCTGGAGTATTCTAGCTGAGAACCTTCCCCATATTCCTCCTGTTATCTGGGCACTCTGGTGTGACACTGGATGTCTGTCTACATGCACATTCTACTGTCACTGGTGTGAGCTGCTTCCTCTGAGGTTGAACACAAGGGCTCTAGTGTTGATCATAAAATTGGGAGCCTTGGTGTGACTTCAGAGGGAGTGACTCATACCAGCATTGCCACTGTGAGACAGCATAGCAGAATTCACATGCAAACAACCACTTGGCATCATTGCAGCGTGCTCTGGATTTTCCTGCAAAATCTGGAATGAAAGATAAATTTTAAAAATTCAATTTAAGGGAGGAGTGGCCCAGATTTGGTGCAGAACTGGCTTTCCCATATGAAGATAGTCTCCACTTGAACTGGGGCTTTGGCCCTGCATTGTGTGCACAAGATGATGTGAGGGCAGGGGGAAACTGGTGTAAATGATACATATAGACATGTCCTCAGACTTTAATTGTGGTGGAGATAAGGGGTTTTGTTAGGAAGCTGCTCACAGTTTATCACAGCATAGTTTAGTTTTTTCTACTTCTTTCCACAATTGTGACCCACAGGACAAGGTCTTGCCATCAGTGATCCACACTGCTTGATGACTCCCCGCAAATAAATATACTTTGACTGCAACCTTCACTTTCTTGATCAATGTACAACCTTCCTTTGCCCCTTTCCTGTCTCTCTTTCCTGTTTATGGAGACATTAAGGTATTCTTGGGAAGAAAAAGAAGTTACCAATCAATAAAGGACACAAGGAAGTAGACATAGCTGAGCACCTTGATGTAGAAAACACTGTTGTCACAGTCAATCTCACTTTTCTACTTTTGCTAGATTAACATGGCACCAGTCCAGAACTTTTCCAATCATCCAATCAAAGCACCATGTGTGTTTGTGTGTTTGTGGAGAGTTGAGAGTGTGGCAGGGTGGTGGTGGAGGAAAGTCTATATGTCATTGATTAATTAGTCCACTCTACCTAGTGGTGCTCCATTTAAACTTTAATATTTTTGGATAGTCATAGAATAAGTTAGTTCCTATGTACCACTAACTTTAAAGCATGAGTAATTTTGTATAGCTCCATCTCACCAGTTTAGATCCAGACTCAGACTTAGAGTAGACAGATTGAAATCAATGGGAAAAATCAATTTTGCCTATTTTAAATCTTGTTTATGCAAGGCTTAAATCCAATTGGGAGTCCCAGCTAGTACAGACCCATTGAATAAAAGTGATTAACATAAGTGGTGGCTTATGAACCAGTAATTTATTCAGTTCATCTACTCTAGATGGAACTAGTTGTTGGACTGAGTCTGGCTCCAACATATTAGGTTAATTAATTTGGTATGTAAAATGAATATATATATATATATATATATATATATATATATATATACACCCTGTCATTTATGTTTCATCCTGAGCTATGCCACTCCAAACTTTCAGGTTATATTAGATTTATATGTGGGCTTTAAAACATAAACTAACCTTTCTCCCCAAACTACCATTTGTTTTAGCTGGAGACCAGTTGGGTAGTGCAATTCCATGGTGGCAACCAAGCCTAGGAAGTGACCATTGTTATCATCCATGTAACTAAAGGATTCTTTGTGAAGCATCAAAATATTAATCAGGTGATGTTTTACTTCTACCATATTGGTACAAAAGGCTCCCAACACTTACAATTTGAATGATGGTGGTGATTTTATTTAGGTTCCTATTCAGTAATGTTTCTATTTTTAATTTTTTCCTGAATATAACATAAACATTTGCTCTGGGGGTGTATCTACACTGGAAAATAATGCAGTTTGATACTACTTTAGCTGCCATGGCTCCATCCTACAGAATATTGGGATTTGTAGTTTTGTGAGGCACCAGCACTCTTTGGCAGAGAAGACTAAAGACCTTGTAAAACTTAACATGATGTCAAAATGCATTATTTTGACAGTATAGATGGACAGTTTCTAGGTTTATAGTGCAATCCTAAGCATGTTTACTCAGAACCTTTCTGAGTTCAACGGACCTACAGCTCAGTCCTGTCAACGCTGTATCTTGGAGGTGTAATAGACATTCTGAGATTTAATGGGTATAGGTTTGCACTTTGCTTTCTAGCAGAGCTTGGAAAAGCTGCATACTCTCTGGGGAATTCTGGAAATTCCACAAAAGGAACTTTTCCAAGCTCTGCTACTTTTCAGTAAGTATGTTTAGGACTGCAGCTGAAAATGCCCCAAAGCAGTATATTTGAAGATCATTTGTTGCAAATAACCTTTTTACACATCTCACAATAAGTACAGTGATGTTATCAAAACATATCATTCACAGGTATGCACAACATTTTAAACATATCAAAGGGATGAATGCCTCTGGCTTGCATAGTATTATAAAACAATAGAGAGCCCTGCTGGATCTGACCAAAACGCCACCTAGCCCAGAATCCTATTTCACACAGTGGCCAACCACTTATTTTCAGAAAGCCCACAGGGAAGGCATGGTGGCAACAGCCCTTCTGTGCTAATTGACGCTGTTGGTGCATTTGTCTAAAGCCTTTGAAAGCCACATAAACCAGTGATAATCACTGATGTATATGAGTCCATTGAATTGTTTATAACATTGTTTATAACTGCTAGTAACATTTGCTGGGTTCATTGTGGTGGTCAGTTGGTTTGAGGGTTTCAGAGTGCTGAACCAGTTTGGGGGATAGGGCTAGCACTTTGGATAACTCCTGTAATGTCGACTTTAAAATGTTGAACTGCTTAACCTTTCCTCAGACATGAAATCTGCCAGCTGCCACTGATCTTTCTGTATATAGAACTTCTGAGTTGGCTAGAAATATTGATGGTCCTATAAAATACGAAACATGGGGAAAGAGAGGTGAAGCCCTTTTGGCATTTTTTCAGTAGTGTTTATTATGTCCTGTCTGGAAGGCTTGAACCTGGTTATGACAGGAAAGAAAATG